TCTTTCGACATTTTGTTGAACATTTCTCTTTCTTTTGTTAAACTTTTATTTCACTTTCTCCATAAAAAATGGCTTCAAAGGGAAATGTTAAATCTTCAAGGAAAGTTATTCAAGAGAAGGTTACCTTTTAAGGGGATTGCTATAGACTAAATGAGCTCTTCGAGCAAACAAGTATGATTAACACACCCTTGTTCCAGATTATTACTAGTAACGATGTTGTTGATGTTGTGATTGGTCACAAGAAATACCCGAGAGAAGAGTTTCTATCAAATGATGGGTCCTACTATAAACATCGAAGTCATTCATCTTATGAATATGATCGATACAACCTTCCTAAAGACTTGTGAGTCCGGTGTTCTTTTTTCACTTGGATCTTATCCAATTCTTTAAAATTGGACACAATCTGTTAAGGATTTTCCTGTTATTTGACCAAAACCGAGTGCTAAATATGAAGACTAGGTTAAGAAGAGGTTTATCCCATAATTAGGTAAGAAATAGGATGCGATAGAGATTTGTAAGTCCATTCTTTTATCGATATAATTTGGATATGGCTTTCAATAAACAAGATGATTGACCCTTTGCATTCGTGATCCATACATCCTTTCAATCATATTGGTGAAAACCTATTAAATCAATTCTCCTGGTGTATTTCCAAGGGCGGGATGTGATGTCGAACCATTTCCTTTAACTATTGCCATAGTTAGTGCATTTTGTGGTGTAAAATCGGTTGTTGCCCTTTGAGGTATGTTTGGAGGAGGACCATAGGAGGTGCACGGGATGAATGATCATTATTTTGGCCACAATGACCATGTCCATAAAGTTTTTGTGGCATGTCATGACCATTTCTATTATCGAATGGTCTAGTAATGATAGAAGGCGAATATCTTAAAGGAACTTCGATCAACTCGATCGTCGATGATCTCATTTCCTTGTTAATGTTGAAATTCCTTTCTTCAATTAGTTATTTTCCTTTTCCTCCTATCAAAACCAAAAGCCATCAAGCATCCTCTCTCATCATTCGAGTGACGCTTACCGTCATCTCAAATCTTGGTTCGATAATAATTTCCATTTTCTTGGCCACTTGTCTAGCCAATGGTAAAAGAGTTTCATTAAACAAGTAATTTACATCCGTAATCACTCTATCGTTATGATAATGCATACAATCCATCAATTTGATAGTATGGTTAGTGATGTTTTCATTATTTTTCTTTGATGATTCGGCTATGGAAGCCTTTATCCCGTTGATATCCTCTTCACGTTGATTCGACACTAACTCGTATATGTCGATTTATCTGATCGCCTATCTCCAAAGATGGATCATATATCCTCTTTAGTAATTCTTCAATCTAATTAGCCAGCATTTGTCAAAATTTAGCCATTCGTTCTTCGAGTACTTGTTTCCTAACATCATGGTTTTGATTTATAAAATCACTTCTATCTAAACCCACATGTTATTGATTTTTGACATTCAAACTATTTTTATTGTCAAACTCGCCCTTTATTAGTTATGCTTTTAGGTTCCGTGTTGTCATTAACCTTGGTTTTCTTGTAATTATGGTTTTCCATGGTTATATGTTCACATTCAAAAATTTGGATCATTCCTTCAACGAAACGGAAAGTGTTTCATCAATTCGGAGAGTTGGTGTCTAGTCATACTTATATTAGTGCTATGTTTTGACATTTCTCTCTCACCGTGGTTGCCAAAACTTGTTGCTCGCTTGTCAAATTTAATCTTAAAGCGAAGCATATCAATGCTTTAATTAGTGATTAAGTCCTTCACGATGAAATATTATGGGATTCGGTTTCGCCTAGCAAGCAACTAGGACTTCCTGTGGATACTTAGTTTAAAGAAAGAGTAATAAAGTAAAAAGAATTTTATCAATAGGAAGAGATAAAATTCATTAAAAAGACTCGTAAATATCATAAATTGAAAAATATGACACTTACATAATTAGCTATCAAGATGTTCGATGCCATTCGGATATATCAATGGTTCCTAAGTTACATAGATAGGACTACTAAATGCAATAAAAGACTATCACACTACTTACAAAAAAGTAAGAACTAACTATTACAGGATAAACTAAGAAAATTGAATAAACTTGTATAAAAAGTCTTATGTTATTGATCGTGTGCAATTCTATTGGTTCTCCTTCCTTAAATAGCTCTTGATTGACAATCTGTCTTTTATTTAAATTTAAGAGTGAATAGTTATTTGGTAATAGCCTTTTCATTTTCTTTGTGCGTATTGTTTTCGTTGAAACTGGTTGATTGCGGGACCAAATGCATTATTTTATTTAAGTCTTATGATTTTTTTTAAAACTTGACCTAGTTATACTAATAAATGTATTGTTTCACTCAAGACTTAAGGCTCCATTGAAACTCGATTAGTGATAGGTCCAAACGCATCGTTTTATTAAAGTTTAAGGGCTTTGTCGAAACTTGGTTGCTTATAAGACCAAATGCATCGCTTCATTAAAGTTTGGTTATAAAACCAAACGCATCATTTCATCAAAGACTTAAGGCTTCGTCGAAACTTGGTTGCTTCATGAGACCAAACGCACTCGTTTCACTTATGCTTTACTCGCTTCATCATGAGAAGGTGTCATATTGGATCGGCGTATGATCTTGAATTTTGAAATGCCAACATTACTATACTACTATTATTATCACTATCACCTCTTCCTCCTTTAGCATTGATCACCTTTATCATTTTTATTATCATCATATTTGATGAAATTATATTTTTAATCATTATTCTAATTTGTCAAAAACAAGATATTAAATTTTAAATTTCATTATGATTTGGAATAAAGTGAAAACATGAGGCAGCAAAAATATCTTTTTAAAATACTAGAGATCATAAAAGCTTTAAAAACATTAAGGATCAAAATAAAACATAATTTAAAATTTGCATATGAAGGTCCAAAAACAGCCAAGAAATCATGAAAATACCATTGTTTAAAAAATTACAAAAAATGCCATAGAATGTATAGTAATTTGTGAGTAAATGAACATGGAATGAATAGTAATTACTTTATTTTTTTAGTTGTTTTTGCTAATAGTCTAGAAAATTTTTGCTTTTGATACTAAGCTTAATTTGTTGTAATTATCTTTTCTTCTTGCATTTATTTTATGGAGTATATATATATATATATTAACTTTAGATTTTAGTATCTACTCTAAGTCTTCCTTGAATGCATTATAGTTGTTTACTTATTTGAATTGGTTGTTTCTATATAGTATGTGCTCATGAAAAAATATTCCGGCTATGCACACAAAAGTTAATGAAATTAAAAATCAAAAATTAAAAAATAAATCTGTTTAAACTAAATTAACCGAAAACCAAAACTAAAATTTTGAATTTTTTTAATTGAAAAACCAAATCTTATTTATGTTTGGTTTCGGGTTTTATTTTTGAAAATTAGGTTAACCAAAATCAAATAAAAAAAAACCGAATGACGACCCTTAATGACCTTATATAAGAATAGGTTTAACCATTGTCCTTAGAATATATAGAGGGACCAAATTGAACCAAACAAAAGTTTAGTCTTCGATTAACATAGTAAGTGCCCTCGATGAAAGAATTAAAAAATTGAAGGAAACAGAATCGAGGCATCTGTCTGTTGGTAAATGGTTTCTTTTTTTAATGTTATTTTTAATCGAGGCATCTGCAGAAGCAATCGCGTTTGAGCAGAAATGATATTAAAATCTTTCAAAAGCGCATTTAATGTTTTTTTTTTCCCAATTCAAACACATTTAAAAAACATTTTCAAATACACCAAAGGCAACTAGATTATCACGTGTGGCATAAGAATTCACTACCTGAATTTCTGGTAGACAAAATTGTTTTTATTAAGTCCACGATGGATTTAACTTGTGTCTCAGGATTCATGATTAGAAAGCAAAAGGAAGAAAATCGTCAATTAGATGACATGCATATTACTTCCCCTTAAAAAAAAAAAACCACTCATGCCATAGGCTGTCCGAGCCTCATCCCGCCCAGGAACATGTTTCACTAGGACTAGCCCAAGACTGCCAAGATTTTGGGCTGTTACAAAACCCAGGCCTGGCCTTTGAAGGGTTTCCAGCATTTAGAAATTAAATATACAGCATCAAAGAGTAACTTTCGAAGTTGGATGACAAGTTTTCTATGACGAAAATTGTTCAGTTTTCTATCACAAAGTTTGGGTATAATGTCATAGAAGAACAAACAAAATAGCACAAGTCACCCTTTATATTCCATTGAACAACATAGCTAATTCTACGTAAGAATCGATCAATTTTATTAAACAGTTTAATTTTTCTTCTACTGAGGATTAGACACCTGACCAGTTAACGAAATTTTAAAATGCAGAGAGTCAAAAGTGCTTGTATCAGGTCATAGACAGACAAAATGCTTGACTTCTGAGCCAAGTAACTGAAAGTGACAACACAAAATAATAATACTAGAGTGGTTATTGGTTAATAACCAAAAGACTGACCTTCCTTAATTTATTTGTTTCAACAGAACAGGAAGGACCTGATCACTAGCCATCATCATGAATACCTCTAAGATATTTCTCATCATTTCATTGCTTGAATTCCTTCTCCAAATTTGCCTGTCCATAGACACCATAGGTTTTAACCAGTCTATTACAGATGGTAATGTTTTAGTCTCCAGCGGAGGAACCTTCACTTTGGGATTCTTCAGCCCTGGTAATTCCAGCAATCGATATCTTGGGATTTGGTATACTAAAGTTTCAGTTCAAACTGTTGTATGGGTTGCCAACAGAGACAATCCTATCAATGATTCCTCTGGAATATTCTCAATCAATGGTCAAGGTAACCTCATCCTCTATGATAAAAATCAAACTATTCCTGTCTGGTTCACAAATGTTTCATCCGTCTCATCAGCCAGCAATTCTGAGGCTCAGCTTTTAGATTCAGGAAATTTTGTTCTCCTTCAACTGGATAGCAGAATAGTCTTATGGCAAAGTATTGATCATCCTACCAATACCATGCTTCCTTTTACAAAACTTGGATTGGACAGGAAAACTGATCTGAACCGGTTTTTAACATCTTGGAAGTCCCTGAATGATCCAGGAACTAGCGAGTGGTCATACTACTTGAAGCCAAGTGGGCTTCCTGAGCTGATGTTATACAAGAGTCAGGTTCCGTGGTGGCGCAGCGGACCTTGGAATGGCATCAAGTGGAACGGCATACCTGAGATGGCAACTAATTTCCTTTTCAACACGAGTATCATGTACAATAATAATGAGACTGCCATTTCATGGGGAATTCTCAATTCTTCTGTCATCTCAATGTTATTTCTGGATCTGACAGGACAAATCAAACGATCCACTTGGCATGATCAAGATCATAGATGGATCACATTCTGGACAGCACCAGCGGAAACGTGTGATTATTATGGACATTGTGGAGCAAATGGTAATTGCAACCCTTATAATGCTGGAGTATTTGAATGCAGTTGTCTCCCAGATTATGAACCCAGGTCTTCAAATGATTGGTACTTAAGAGATGCATCAGGTGGGTGTGCGAGGAAGCAAGGGGCATTAACCTGTAGAAGTGGTGAAGGATTTGTGAAGGTGAAAAATGCTAAGGTTCCAGATACCTCTATGGTCCTTTTGGATATGAGTATGAGTTTGCAAGCATGTCAAGAAGACTGCTTGAGAAATTGTTCTTGCACAGCATATTCTACTGCAGATTTGCATAGAGAGAGTGGCTGTGTAACATGGTACGGGGATTTACTTGATACAAGAGTCTTTACAGATGGAGGACAAGATATATACATTCGCGTGGATGCAGCCACATTAGGTGAGTTAATTTCTTGTGAGATATAGCATAATCCTTCTCAAGTTTCTGAACTGTTTTTATGCAAATAATAATTTGCAAGTAAACCTTCTTCAATTGATGATTATACGTTCTCGTCCACCAACTTCCGTAACTTTTTCGGTCCTGTTTTGCCTATAAAGAATAATGTTTGTGATGGGAAATTTTTTACAGCTCAATACACAAAGAACTCAAAAGGCTTCTTTGCCAAGAAGGGGGCATTAGCAGCTTTGGTAACCCTTCTAGCTGTAGCAGCCATCGTTGTCATTTCTATTACATATTGCCTGGTGAAGAGGAAAAGAAACGGTAAGCAAATTTCTCTCAGTCAGCACCTTATTAAATCCAAATATTTTGTATGATAAAAAATCAAAAGCTTAATTTCTTACACAAAAAGCATCATGTTCCGAGCTAATTGTTCGCTGGTGATTACTTATCCTGTCATTCATAAGAACAGGAGACAGTGCGGTTTTTTCACACTTCAAGTACCATGTGTGAACTGACAAAAATAAACTACAGAGTACAGAGTACAGCACACCCTACCCTATATGTCGGAAGCCAAGAGAGAATTATACTTCATTGGAAAAAAGAATGGACTAAAACCAATAAAAATGGTGCAATTGTGAAGAGCTGATGTTTTTAGATTTGGAATTTAGAACAGATTTGTATTTAGCATTCTTTATTTGAAACACAGGACGGAGAGGAGAACAGGATCTGTTTATCGATGGTACCTCTTCTTTAGCACACTTTCAAGACTGGCAAAAGGAGGATTCTGAGGAAACTGCAAGTTCAAATTTACCAATTTTTGATATAAAAATTATAGCTGCTGCCACAGACACTTTCTTTTTTGCCAACAAGCTTGGACAAGGTGGTTTTGGCTCAGTTTATAAGGTAATTTCCGGCTCTGAAACTAACACTCAGTGAAGTATGAATGTGCATAAATACAAGAAATATGAGGTGAAGATCAGATTACGGATTTGTTCATTGATTACGTTCTCAGGGTCGACTACCCCATGGACAAGAAATAGCTGTGAAAAGATTGTCTAAAAGTTCAAGACAAGGTGTTGAAGAATTCAAGAATGAAGTTAGGCTGATATCAAAGCTCCAGCACAAAAATCTGGTTAGGCTTTTGGGCTGCTGCATTCATAAAGAAGAGAAGATGTTGGTCTACGAATACTTGCCCAACAAGAGCTTGGACTTCTTCATCTTTGGTATGGCTTCTTTCCATCCATTTGTAGTAGCATTCAACCATTTCTTACACAATTTATGGCATTGTTAACTAGATTCTGCAATAAGAATGTATGTTTGAAGAGAATTTTGAGCATTTGCATTTGATTTGATTCTTCAAAATTGCAGATAAAACTAGAAGGGAACTTTTGGATTGGAGCCAACGTTTTGAAATTATTCTTGGGATTGCTCGAGGTCTTTTATACCTACATCAAGATTCGAGGCTAAAAATCATTCACAGAGATCTAAAAGCTGGCAATGTTCTGTTAAATGCTGCAATGAACCCAAAAATTTCAGATTTTGGTATGGCTAGAATATTTGGAGAAGATCAAACAGAAGCAAATACAAATAAAGTGGTTGGAACATAGTAAGTGCTCTCTTTCTCTCGCCATCAAGCACACATGCGCATACAAAACTGAAAATTGGACGTGCTCTTGACCGCTTCTTTCACCTTGCATGAGTGTAGTGGATACATGTCTCCAGAATATGCAATGGAAGGGCTATATTCAATCAAATCAGATGTCTTCAGCTATGGGGTCTTAGTACTGGAGATCATAAGTGGCAGGAAAAACCATGACTACTACGATGAAAGTCCTTCTCAGAATTTGATTGCACAAGTAAGTGAAACGTCTCCCCAAACTTTTCCTTTTATTGTATACTTGCCTTGAAGGATGATCTCTTGAACTTCTATTTCCAGGCATGGAGCTTATGGAATGTAGGCAGAGCATTGGAGACAGTCGATTCAACATTAGGAGAGTCATATCCTACAAATGAAGTTTTGAAATGTATTCAAGTAGGCCTTTTATGCGTGCAAGATAACCCGGCAGATCGACCGAGAATGTCAGCAACAGTGTTCATGTTGGATAACGAAACAGTCCTTCCTTCTCCTAACAAGCCCACATTCATTATCAGAAGAAAGCAGAGTGATTCAAACTCCTCAACAGCTAGAGGAGGTGCTGCTTCTATAAATGATGTAACAATGACCAACATCGAAGCGCGGTGAAGTCTCGAGATTCTTGTGAGTTGTAACATAAATTCTCCTGAGAGAAACACTACAGTTGAAGTTCTGTTAGAGATCCGGGAAAGAACAAGATCAATGTCACGATAGCTTATTTTAGGTCTGAACAATGTAGAATTTATAAATGCATTAGGAATAGGCAGAGGCCAGATTTGAATTTGATGTTTACTGGATATTACTTAAACAATGTTGGGTCGGAAATAGATTGTCTCTAATCATTTTATAATTTTTTTTTAAAGATCTCTTAATTAAAGCCGGTATAAAAGAATCTACAACACTCGTTAATATTCATTCCTCATTATTTCTTCGTTACAGCCATCATTTGTTTTTCCTTGTTTATTAAGGTTGTTATCTTTTGTAATTGTCTATTTGTCCACGTGATTTAAGAGTCAATAGCCCATGAATTGCTCGTCAAAGGATGTTAACATTTCTCAATACTTCATCTCTATTCTCATTCGACGTGGATCCATTCTTGGGTCGGAATTAAATGTAATAACTTCTTATTTCTCTAGTTTCCATCATTTTTAGGTTTATTAATGATTCCGAAATTCTCTAACGTGTTGCTTACGGTAATAATTAATGACACGATTCTGTTACTCCAACGACTTCCAAGTTATGAATTTCCAACACTAGTGTAGGTCCAATCTTTATGTGGAAGTCAACAAACAATTCCGTCTTTCTTCATGGATATATATTCAGGTAGACAAGTCTTCAAACCAAACAAGAAGTTGCATGTGACTGGGTTGCCTATTGGCTTTTTTGTCACAGCCAGTAATAGCCAATCTGTTTTAAGTCTTTGTAGAATTTTGAACATCTTGATTTTACGGAAAAGGGGTATATCAATCCCCTTTTTTTTCTTTTCTTTTTTTTTTTCAAGGCAATTAAGCAGTCAGATATTGGATCAACAGTACTAAATACGCCACCTTACACAGTTATGGCGATCATTTCCCACCCCACTGATAAGGATAAAGGATATACCACTCTTGTGTATATCCCTCACCTGACATGAATATCTGTAGAGTGGTATAGATAGAAGTCTTCGTAACAAACAAGTATGTAATGTATAAGTCCTCGTAAATGCAAACTCCTCCTCTAGTAAAATCTATAAGTACATATGCTTAATGAACATTATTTATCTTTGGATCCTAAGCAATCCTTTCATGGTATCAGAGCATCACCAGGTTTAAACACCCAGCTCGATCCAAATTACAAAATTTTTCTTCTTCCATGGCCGATCCAACCACTCCCCATTAACACACCAAATCCAGCAGCCTGCACCCATTAACATATCCTATCCTAATATCACTTCCCATTTATCCATCATGCTAAATTCAGCCAATTACCTTTTATAGAAAACACAACTTTTACCACTGTTATGTGGGTACAAGCTTGCTCATCACATTGATGGCAGCCTTCCCACCCCTCCTTTAACAGACTCTGCTTATGGTGATTAGAATACACTGGATCAAGTTTGTTCTTAGCTGGATTGTCAGCTCTCTTTTCACCAACTTTGTAGCACAATTGGCTAGAATAACCACTGCTCGCGAGGCTTGGGACAAGCTTGCAACCATATATGCTTCTGGTTCTAGAACACAAGTACATCAACTGCGCATAAGTTTGATTGGACTGTCACAGATTCAGACCTACATGCTGCGTGCTAAAGAGCTGTCCGATCACCTTGCTCTGCTGCAGCTCCCTATCCTAGAAGACGATCTCATCGATTATATATTACGAGGCCTAGTGCCTACGTACCCTCTATTCATGCGCAACATTGAAGCTAAACTTACAACAATCACATATGATGACTTGTTTTCTTTGCTGCTGAATGAAGAAATGCAACTGGCTAGACATGAAAACTCCTCTGATGCAATGCCACCAATGGCATAATTTTTTACCCATGGCTTCCATCCCTATTGTGGAAGAGGACGTTATCATGGCAAAAGCAAAGGTAATGGCTATGATTGAAAGATCATGCTTTCTATGAAAATATGAAATAAAACAAAATTTTTCTTCATTTAAAGTTTTTAAAATCAAATAATTAATTCAATTAATTATACATAATTATATCTCACCTGTGATTTTAACCAACTAAAAATTGGCAACATTTGTCTTTTAATCTTCTGAGATTAGCTCACAAGAGTTGTTCAAACTTTGGACCAAAAAATATCTCCCCCACCTAACATAAGCGGATATATTCTAGCGGTTGTCTATTCTATAGTTTTTTTTTTAAAAAAAAATTAAGTTTGTGTCTCAATAACTCTAATTTTATTTTATAATTATATAATCGAAATGGACTACTCCTAATATGTATCCCAAGACCCAACCCACTCTTCCATAAATCTAGTTTAGAGAAATTAATAATTAGTACTTTTCTTTTTAAAATATAATTATTTAGTCTTTTATATTTTACTTCCGTCAATAATTTAGTTTTTTTTATCAATTTTTTATTAGATTAGTGATTTTTATTTCTAAATTATGCTTCAATTGATTTTTTTATTAAAGAGATAAAAGAACAGTAGTTGAAGAAGAAAAATAAGATTTCAAATGCAAAATATTTTGAAAGAAAGAAAAAAATTATTAATCTAATAAAAAAATTGATAACATAACTAAGTTATTGACTGATTAAAACATAAAAAAATAAATTATTAGTTTTTTAAAAAATAATAATTTATTTATTTTTTAAAATAAGAAAAACTAATTTATAATTTACTCTTTATTACATGGGTCCACTATCTGAGCTACCCCGATGTCCATCCAAAAAAAAAAAAAAGATTTTTGATATGTACCTGGCTGGGGCTCCACTCATTAAAACCCCAACTGCACCAATCAATAAATCATCTACTCAACCTCGGCAACATACAATCAATAGAGCAAATCATGAATCTTGCAGAAATGTCTCTTAGTGCATTGCTTCTCTTCCTTGTTTTCCCTTCTTGCTTATCTATTGACATCATAGCTCCAAACCAACCAATCAAAGACGGAGATGTTTTGGTCTCCGGTGGACAAAGCTATGCACTTGGGTTCTTTAGTCCAGTTATCAACTCTACTCGTCGCTACGTGGGAATTTGGTACAATAAGGTTTCAGAACGAACTGTTGTATGGGTAGCAAATAGAGACAGTCCTGTCAATGGTACCTCCGGGGTCCTGGCTATCAGCAATCAAGGTAACCTTGTGCTTTACGAAAATAACCGAAGTAATGTTCCGGTTTGGTCTACGAATGTTTCAGCCTCATCAATGAACAATTGCCTGGCTC